AGAAGCATCAGATTTCGAAGATAACTCTCGTTACAACTCAGAGTCCTTAGGAACAGGATTTCCACACACACACACACACACACACGCACGCACGCAGCCTGGTCCTTCCACGACCAGGACGGCAGGCAATACGAGTAGATGTTGAACGATCTGAAATGCACACAGGTCTTGCCACGCACACACACACACACATGAAAGTGCTGAAGCTGCATAAAATTCCGCCGGCCTGCTCCGATCGAAATCACGTCGTTTGCGCTGGAAGCGTACGATGCAACTCGTGACCATGAAAATCCAACTCCCAAAGACTTCGGGAGAGTGCACGATTTTGAGCTGGCACATTCTGTTTCGGACACACCTGCGGTGCCACGATCAACACCCCAGCACGGAACGACGCAAGATTTGCGTTTGCAGACCCCGCACTTCGCGGCTCTTTGGACTCTGACACACGACACCCCAGCAAACCCCTCCACTTCACATGCCTGGAACCTTCCCACAATGTCCCATTCAAGGCAGGCGACGGCGTCAGCAACCTTAAAGATGGCTCCAAACGAGAAAAGGAAAAAAACGAAAATGAGAGCTCCTCTTTATCGTCAACGGGTCCCCCGCAACAAACTTTTCAGTCGATGCCTTGTTTTCCAATGGCTTCCATGCAGGACACGTCCATAAGAAGAGGCTGACTGCTGATCGACCGTGCCCCAGAATTCTCTTCGGGTTTTTCGCGCTTGATTCCTTACCGTCAAAACCGGCCCGACACCTTTTTGCAAGCACCGTTAAGCGTGAAAACTGGATAAAGCAAAAAACACTGCGATGTCGTCATTGACCGTAACATACTCTAGCGCTGTATCGTGAGACAAGCGGTCGCAACAGTCATGAAGCGAAAGCCACAACTCATGCAGTTTCTGCTTTAGCAACATGGCAGACTTCACTCAGCATGCAAGCCACAATCTTGCACAACCGATTCAATCACGACCCGTGAAAACTGATAGTGGAACGGGGTGGCTTGAAAAATCTTTTTGCTTGTCAGAAACACGTAAGCCTTCGGCACCCAGTACGTTTCTGTGATCTTGCACAGAGATATCTTTATACCTACCGAAAGGAAAAACTACCGCCTGCAGACGACCTGAGAAGCCGCCAATGTCTTGATACCGACACTCGTAAAGCTGGCGATGCAACATGGCCGCTCACGCTCCAGATGTTTCGGCTGCACCGGCTGGCGTACGATGCAACTCCTCACCTGGGCACTGCGAAAACTTTTGTAGACAACACCCAAAGGTAAAGATATTCAATAATATCCTTCGTCGGCAGATGAAACGGCAACGCCATGTGTGCAAACTTTTCAGCGTGCCTGGAAATAGTGTCCTTAAAACGCCTTGCGCCGAGGCGCCGATACGCTGGTCGAGGTCGCACGGACGGGACATGCGTCAATACGCCGCTCGCGGACGCGCGGAAGGGAAATACGCCGATGCGCCGGTCGCGCGCCTTCCAGGAGCTGACGACAATGACCGAACACGGAAGTCTTGCCGAAACACACTTCGGAATCACCCTATTGGGGAAGGCAGATCGACGCAGACGGAATGCGCTCAAGTTGAAGGGGTTGCCAGCTGCTACAGCGAGCCCAGGCACACCCCATGCGGTAATGCACATGAAGGCAACACCCACACACACACACACACAGACACACACACACACACACACACACACACGTAGGAAGGATGTCATGACATGCGCCGCCTTCTCACAGGCGCTGACGAGAGAGCCTTGCAGTGCTTGCAGAGCGAAGCGAAACAGAAGCCCCGGACTGGGACCCAGCCGTGAATTTGGGGGCAAGACTGCAGGTCACTGCGTCGGCACGCAGTGAGTGGTCGCTGAGGTCCTACATGAGACGGCGGCGGGATGCGTCGGATGTGTCGGATGCTTCGGGCCAGGCCTTGCCTCCGCAAGCGCCAACGCCTCTTCCCAGTCTTCTTCCCGCGCACAGGCGGAGATGGCCGAATTGTAGACCTCGGGAAAAGCTCGCTTAGCGCCTTCTGACTGAAACTCAGCAGACTCGAAGAGCTCAGCTGCCGTCCACTGTGTTGGGCTTCCAAACCTGACTCCAGGCATCCTGCAGTGCAAGGCGTTCTGCCGGAACCGCAGTGCTAGTCGCTCCAGTCTGTCTGACTCCTCAAGCAAAACCAGGACTTGAGGCCAGCTGGCGCTGTTTGCGCAGCTCGTCACCACCGCGCAGAGCTGCAGAGCCAGAAGTCACGAGCAGCCTTAACACCGACCTCTGGATCCGAGGTGCTGCCATGGCATCGGGCACCGGCCCAGATCGACACATGTCTCTGAAGACCTCAAGATGGACAGGAGAAGAGACTCTCGGAGTCTCTCTGCGCTTTCGCGTCTTCCTCTGCGGCGTGCCCCCTGCCGGCCCTGCCTCGAGGCAGCGGCGCCACTGCTTCGCTGCGCCCAGCAGGCGCATCAGCGCCTGCATGGCGGGCAAGCCGAAAGCGGCAAGTGAGCCGCAAAAGCGGCTCGCAGGCATGGGGCGCGGCACCGTGCAAGCTATGGCATCCAGGAGTGTGAAGTGCTCTTCGAGCACGAAGAGCCTTTCCGGCCACACAGCTGCCAATCTCTGGCATTGCAAAGAGTCAGTAGGTTTCGACAAGTCATCCAAGAAAATGAAGACGGCGAGCAGCAAGGCAACCCATTTTCAATTCATTTCAACACAACGCTTTCGGCCAATATCACGGCAGGGAGTATCGTCAAGAAGTGTTCGCTGCGAACCTTCAACGCACCAAACGTACCTGCAAATTGTCTTGGTAGAGCTCCAAGAATAAGGCCAATAAATGGAAGGGTTCATTAACGAGAAGCACATAATTCGGCGGCCAGCAAACCTTCCCTGTCCTTTCTGCCAGCCGAAATCGTGTTCTTAAGCTGTCCTTGCCGAAACTGCTTTCTTGGAATGCAAGCCCAGATGCGCCACATCCCAACGCTGCGAGTTCTCGCACCTAGCTGCACCGTGCGAGAAAAGAGGGCGCAGCGACTTGGTCTTCCAAGCACATGCCGGGCCAACGCGCGACAGAGGCCACTGCCTCGTCTGATGTCGACTTCAAACACCAAAGAGTTACATTTCGGGGATCGAGGCGGGTGTTTAGCATCAGCATTGGCACCCAGGCAATTAGGCTAAAGTTTGAGTGGCTCCTTGTCGGTTTTAGGGTTTGTCCCCCCCTGTTCTTTTCAAGTCTGTGGACAAAGCCTGCCGCCTTCCGCTCCCAATCCCAACAACTGCGTCCAGGCACGCATGCTCATAGTGCTCATACAGACATGCGTATCATACCAATTACATACGTACCACCCGATTGCCTTCCTGCTTGCGCATGCATGCATACATATATGTTCGTACCTACCTACCTACCTACCTACCTACCTACCTACCTACCTACATACATACATACATACATACATACATACATTCACGCATACTTCTGCAACGCACCTTTTGTGGCGGCGTCCTTGGTTATGTCTCAGCTGCGGTGACACACAACGAGGCTTGAGGAAGCAAGGAAGCTCCTCGACCCCCCGAGGGATGAGAGCTTCTGCATTTCTTAATAGACAGGACACGGTTCCGCGAGCTTCCAACACGAGCAGTGGACAGATCTCTCGATACCTCGCTACAGAAGAGAAAGCAGCTTTAATGCGTCTTGACTAAACAGACGAGAGTTGTCTTGCAAGATGTCGAACAGCTGCCTTACCTTAACGCGACTCCTAGCACCATGCAGCTGCTGCGGCTTATATAACATGTAGGGATGTACGGTTTAGGGTGGAATAGTATGCATGTAAGCTTGTATGTATCGCGATGTTGGAATTTATCTGCCAAGGCGCAGAGAACCGCATCCATCTGGAACCCACGGCTCTGGAGATCTTGCAGAATGCCGAGAGCCTGCAGCGGCTCGCGAGTTTCTCGGTGCCCTGCGTCACCGATTTCTATTCCAGCCTTTTTCTCTGCGCTGTGGCAAACGGTTGGCGAATCCCGCTCGCGGTTTGATTCATTGATTCCACATCAGCAATGGATGGGAGAGAAAACTTCCACGGTCAAAGAGCCGTTGAGCATAACTAGTCGACATGCAAATAAGACATGCATCTGGCCAAAAAGCCCCAGATTTGACCCAACTCGTGTCCTTCCAGAGTCTGAAGAGTGAGAGCATCAGCAAACGCTTGGGTCAAACAGTAAGGCAAGGCTTTGCCAGCAGACAGGCCAAGCTTCAATGGCTCTGTCCAAGCACACCAAGGTGCCGAGGTTCCTAAATAGTACCGTTCGTACTTGGAATTAAAAGTTCCATAAGGACACGAAGACAGCGGAGCAAATCAGACTGCAACATCCCTATCATGATTCGGGGCATAACCAGCAACTCAGCATCAGCATCAGTGGCTGCATACAAGGGCAGTGTCAGCAAGAGTGCTATTTGCACCCTCTGCGATACCTGGATTGAGCAATTACTTGGCGAGCTGTGCTTTTCGGGACACGGTGCTCAATGCCAGGTACATAACCACAAGGGATAAAGCAAAAGTTCATGCTGCAGAGTCTGAGTACTTGCAGCACAAATGGTACAGTCTGCACGTGCTGGAGTTCAACACATCAGCCAAATTGAAAGTTAGCCATGGACGACCAGACACAACGCGCTTATAAAGCACGATGCGAAACACGTTGCAACTGTACATGAAGTTTCACGCTCCTGGTGTTCTGGGTGCCACAGACACATATCCTGGCCAGGACCGCACCAGCAGACAGCTGAGGCGAGGCGAGGTTTCTGCCTGGTGCAGGATAGCGGAAGCCCAAAGCACCCGCCTGCAGCGGCGGCAGGGCAGCGGAAGGGAAGGGCACGTGCTGACGCGCGAAGACGGGAGTGTGTGATTACGGGAGGGGACCTTTGTCGTCGGTGTGGGTGCCCACCTTAGCAAAAGAGATCTGCACGGGGAGAGAGATGGGAGATGGGAGAGACGGATCGCGACTGGTCATGCGCTTGCAATGGCATCTCTTTCAGTGCAGGACATTGCTAGTCCTCTAGGACTCGCGGAAGGAGAGACCAAACAAGGCTCATCCGACGCGTGACGTGTCGGTCCTGGAGGGCCCTGATCCAGCCGAACTGCCACCTGTCTTGCCTGAAGCAGTGTGCTCCTGTCAATCGGAACCTCAGCCGGGCCACAAGAAGCCGCCCTCTGATTGCGTTCTAGCTGGGGCCACTTCGGGTGTCGCTGGCTGGGCGGGCGAGATCCTGAAAGCAGCCCGCACTGCCCGCACTGCTGTAAGAACCGCGATTTGCGGGCCCCTTTTTTGAGGCAGTGACACCTTGGTTGGCGAGCCTGGCCTCGGCTCCGCAATGCTGCGCGATGCTGCGCGATGCTGCGCGGCTCACAGTGACCACAGCCGAGGAGCCATACGAGGCCGCTTGTGGGCGTGCGCACACTGAAGTGCGCGGTGACCTCCGAAGGCGCTTCCATGAATCGCGCTGCTCGGGGGCGGAGGATTGCGCAGGGCGCACCCTCGCCGGACTGGTCAGCGACGGTGCCTGTGCGTACAAAGCGCAGGGGCAGAACTTCAGAGTCTCTAGGACTCCTCTAGGACTCCTCTAGCACTCTGGGGCATGGACTGGCACGGCTTTGGGCGTTGAGATAGCAGCCATGGCCACCTGCAAGTTCAGAGTGTGCACTGCACGAAGTTTCTGCGCTGAAACATCCGAGGCCGCAGCAGATGTCGCAGTGTTGGACCTGGCTAAGCTCGGGGTTTTCCATCCATGTCTTCGCTTCGGCGGCTGAGGCTCTGAGGCAGGTGCATCGCGCCAGCCGTCGGAGTCCCGGTTGAAATCGGAGAAGGGAGCGGCCTGAAGACAGCGCAGACCGCAGAAGGGCAAAAGCGGCGGCTAAAGGCTGCTTTGGACTTCTCCCGCCTAGACACCAAGGGAACGCGCATGGGCCTCGATTCATGCCAACAGAAGGGAGTCCACGGTAGACTTTGAGGCCCCTGCGAAGCCATCGGCTGGGTCCTGCCAGAGATGCAGGCTGTGGCAGCATGGATGCCATCGGTCCTGTGTAGGTAAGCAGCCTGATCGTTGTATACTGAGCCGCAACCTCAAGCATCAAGGCTGGAAGACAGCAGAGAGTCGCCGATGTCGCCGTTGCCTAAGGCCTTTACACTCGGGGACACCAGTGGTCGAACCATCATTGCTTGGCCGTCTGCAGGAGAGATGTCATCGAGCCTTCGAGGCGCAAGCTTCGACGGGAACAAGACACAGGGCAAATCACGCCAGTGGGGCGATAGAGGTGCTGGTGCCGGACGGCCCGTCACACGCTTGCTTGGGGTTCCTCGTGAGCAGGGCAGCAGGCTGCACGGAAGGGAAGCCGCTGGGCCCAGGATGCTGGCCCGGCGAGCTGGAGCAAAGCCCATCCTCGCCGAGACACGCAGCTGAGCGCTCGGCCCTCGGCCCCCCCAAAGCCTACGCCTGCAGGGCCCCCGCCTCTGGGTCGCTCAGGTTCTCCTGGCGCAGGTGGAAGAGTCACTGCTGGGACCCTTGTAAGCAGAGTTGTTCTCAGTCGCTACATTATACCCTAAATCCGAAGCCCTAAAGCCCAAAATCCTGCAAACCCTGAGCACGTCTTTGCCGCATCTTTTGCATGCTACACTTGTGAAAAACCATTCTCACAGAGTCGAAAGTGATAATGATGAACCGAGTGCTTCTGTGTTTTGCATGGCGAACTGATGACACCGATCCAACAATCTGCAAACAGTCGCGTGTGCAACACAAGAAGGGCTGGCAACGACCCAGACATCAAAACAGCCACGTGGGCGTCGCGACGTAGCGACGGGAAGATCGAAGAGAAGCACTGAGGAAGGGAGGGGATTTGGGGGAAAAGGGGGCAGCGCCCACAGCGGCAAGTACCGTCAGAAGGTCAGCGAATCCGAAGGCCCTCTTCTTCTTCTCTTTTCTCTTCGAAACCCGCCTTCAGGTCCGAGAGGCCGGGCCCGCCGGGCTGCGAGAGAAGCGCTGGAAGTGCCGAAGGCACGGTGCCTCACACAATGAAACTGAGGCGAGGCGAGAGACCGTTGCCGGGCCTGGGGTCAGGTTGAAAGGGAAGTTGGTCACCGAAGCAAAAGGGCTGAGGGTGGTGGTGCCTGCAGGCACAGGCACAGGCAGAGACCGACGACGTGGACGTGGCCTGCCCGGCCTGAGCCGAGCAGTGAGTTCGCTTGTGCGCCGTAGAGCGATGCGAGGGCCGACTGCATCTGGGCCGTCGGATAACCTGCGCAAGAGGAGACCCACGGACCCACTTGCCGGCATGACCCGGCATCTTCAGAACCGGACCCACTGTTTCAGTTGCCACCTCACACCAAGCGCAAGCGCAATGAGAAGGAGTGCTGCAGGGCTTAAGCCTGCCTTCCCAGCAGGCTTTGACACTGTGCTGACACCGTGCACCTGAGCAGACGACAGCAGTAATGATCATTCCCTCTACAACATCCTGTGCGGCCGACGACCAAGCGGCCGTCCTTCGTCACCTCACGGCGCGAAACGCTGCGAGATGCAGAGCACAAGCAGAGCAGCGGGCCGTCGGTGGTGGCATGCCCGGCCTGAGGCAGTGACACAAGGCAGGCACATGCAGTCGCGAGCTCTGCTTCTGCCGAGCACGCAACTTCTGCTGGAGCAGCTGTGCTTGAACCTCGAAGCCAAAGGAGTTTTTCATTTTCATCCTAAGGCAGTCTCTCAGAGGCCGAGTGCCCGGGCGTCTGGATGCAGCTCCTCGATCCCGTGCGCAAAGGTGCAGGTCTGCGCGGGTCCGAAAGATCCGCGAGATTCTTCGCCACAGTCCAAAAAACCACACCCCTTCGCCCTTCGCTTTGCTTCGCCCTTCGCCCTTCGCCCTTCGCTTTGTCTCGTTGTGCCTCGGCCTTTTTGCACCAGCCCTGCAGATTCCAGTGGTTGCAGAGCCTGCAGGCCGCAGGCCGCAGCAAGAAAAAACCGCGCCTTTTTTGTTCGCCTTTGGTTCTTGAGCCGAGGTGCCGATGCGGCATGAAGTGTCCGGGGAAGCGCCGAGGCACCTCGCAGGCGTCCAAGATCTTCTGCTGACAGGGAAAGCACTGCACGAACCTGCACCGTGGGCTGAAGCACCTGTGCCTGTCAACAGAGCACTCTTTAACTGCTCCACTTTCTGTCTCAGGGATCGCCTGCGGGGGCATGAAGATCGGACCTCCTGGCAGGAAGCTCAGGATTCGACAAGCTCTGATAAATTTGGGGGGTTCTCTTTGCCCTGTCACGGGAGCTGTCCTGCCGCCTTCGCAGTTGCAGCACCCTTGGCACCTGCCTGAAGGAGATACGCCGGTTGAAAGGCCCCAAAGGCCCCCCTCTGTAGCTCTCTTACTCCGTCACTCCGCAGCTGCAGCCTTCTTCTTCCCCTTAGCGGCCTCGGCCTTGGCCACCTGAGAGCGGCTCTTAACACATCGGCGCGCCGCGCGGCTCTTTCTGCAAAGGCGGCGGCATCCAAAGGCTCTTGTTCTTGACCAGCAGCCATGGCCTCGCGACACGCAGAGAAGCACAGGAGGGGCTTGCTGCGCCCTGCGCCCTGCGCCCTGCGCCCTGATCCGCCACTTCCTGCCTCCGGCGATGCCGCTCTCTCTAGCGGTGGAAGGCTTCAATGCGTGTTTCCGTGCTGAGCCACAACGGTCACGCCGAGTCATCAGGAAGATCAAGTTCCAAACCGAACGTACCAACACAAAGGGTGCAGGCAGCACAACAGGAGGGTTGCCTCTTCCCAGGCACCATGTCTGCCTCCACTCTACTTAGTCAGGCTTCTTCTCTCCAGGAATCACATCACCCTGTGGCCTAGACCGAACAAGCGCGATGTGCACGCCTGACACGCGGTATCCCCGCTTGGGGTTCGTGAGGACTCGGGGACTCTGGGACTCCAGCCCGTACGCCCTGTCCTGAAATTGGAAAGACACACCGTCTTGTGACAAGCGAAGCATAGCGAAGCACAGAAAGGAATATTTGGCTCACAGCCAAGTCTGAAATTGTTGTTTTGTCTCTGCGAGATCAGTATTAACACTGCTTGTTCTCATCGAGTTCGCTTCACATACTGCACGACCCTCTACATCGTAGTTCCGCCTGAATGTGTCGGTGCTAGCAACGTGCGATTCAGGATCGCTACAAACCAAGAACACTTTCCAAGGGCCTCCCAGCCCAACCCCCGCGCTTGTACGGCGATCATCTGACAACTGCACAGGTGTCCTTGAAGGCTTCTCCTCCCCTTCACCTAACAGATGCAGAAACGAGAATAACTAGAAACTGGCACAAGGCTCCCAACACGTCCGGCCTCCGTGGCAGAGGGCGGCTGGAGCCTGAGCACGGCTCCGAGCACGGCTGCTTCAAAGCATCACAACAGCACAACAGCACAACAGCCCCCCCCCCCCCAACGCCTGGCTTCGAGGGGCCTGTCGGACACAAGGGACACAAGGACTCGGTGACTCGCAGAGCCGGGGCCGGGGGCCTCATCGACTTGGCCGACGTGGCCGACGTGGCCGGCTTGGCCCATGGCCATGGCGCCGAGCGGCGCCCTCCCCCGCCCCGCGCCGCGCCGCTTCGGCCCGGCCCCGCGTGGGGACCTGCGCTGACCTGGAGGAGCCTGATCGGGGCGAGAGGCGCTCTCAGGTGCGAAGCATTGCGAAGCCGCATAGACGTGCACACGCAGCCATCTGGACCACTGCCCCTCCTTTTTTGGAGAGCGGCGCCGTTCTTGCACTTTGCATCGAATTGCGACTCGTGAAAAAAACTGCACTGCACAGCGGGGCCCGCAGCGCTGGGGGCCCGCCCCGCACGAATTCTGCCACAGCTCAGCGTCACCTGCAAACCTCGCGCTGCAAAAAGGGATGAATCGCCGAGGACAAATCGCCGAGGGCGGCTCTGAGGTTGCAGCAGATCGCAGCCGGTCCGAGATGCTCAGCGAGAAGCGGCGGGACCGCTCTTCTGCCCGCACGCGCTCCTGGAAGGCTCGCCCTCCGCTCCACTCCGTGGCTCCACTTGTCTCCTTCTGCAACCGCCGCGCCCGCGCCAAGGCCTCCGAGGCCGAGGCCTCAGCAGACGCTGATGCCCTTTCCGACTTGGTTTCTCTGAGAGCGGTCAGTTGCAGCCCAGGCGCACCCGTAGTGTCAAGAACCTGAGAGAGCTTTGCCGAAGGACAGACGACAGACGTCGACAGACGAAAGGCCCCTTTAAAGGCATCGACCTGCGGCATAGAGCCGGTGCTGGCTCGGCGCCTTCCTGCAACTCTGCAACGAGCGCGGAAATGCGCGGCATCGGCATGAACCCGCGGCCTGGGTCGCGGTCGCGACGGACAATTTTAGGCTGGCGTAGCCAGCTTCTTGCATCCTGAGGCTCTGCACTGTCCTGCGGGAAGTACTGAGAACAAGAGAGCGCTTGAAGAGCTGTGCTCAAGAGGGCTGCGCAGGAGAGTGGGACAGCCGTCTCCTGAGCCTGAGCCCCCCGCGCCGTGGCGGGATGTCTCGTTGCCACTCCGGTCCGTAAGAAGGGGTCGGTGGCCGCGGTGCGTGCGGAGTCCGCCAAGGCGCAAGTTCTCCGTGGCCTGCAGGGACTCCGGAAAAAATGCATGGAGTGCCAGGAGTGCAAGCCTTTTAACTGCTGAAAGGGATAGGGCCTTCAAAGCCGTTTGTACATCCTCCAAAGCCTTCGGTCGCGTCACACTGCGGGACGACACGTTTCCGGAGAGGAGGTGCCTTTTCGATGGCACTCTCCCCGACATTCATCCGCCTCGAACAACAGACGGAAATGCGAACTGATCGGCGTTCGCTGACTTTGAGGCTGTACCAATAAACATTCTGCCACGGTACGGTGGCTGGTTCTCCGTATCTTCGCCTTCCACGCCTGGCCGAGTCGTTTCGGCGGATTTTCCACATCGACCACAGCATTCGCAGCCTTGCAACTATTAAGATACCATGTGCCGTCATGTATGTGTGTGTGTGTGTTTGTGTGTTTGTGCGTTTGTGTGTTTGTGTGTTTGTGTGCTTGTGTGTTTGTGTGTTTGTGTGTTTGCGTGTGCGTGTGTGTGTTTGTGTGTGTGTGTGCGTGCATGTGTGCGTGCGCGTGCGCGTGCGC